GGCGAAAACCCTGATTTCGTGGATTGACCTCATTAGCGCTTGTATGCAAGTTGTGTGGTGGATGTGTGCCGCGCCAGGTCATGATTCTTCGGCATGGATGGACGATGTAAACACAGGGTATTTATACTACATGTGTGTACGTACATGTACGTTCATGAATATTCAGCACACGTGATTACTAAATTTTCATAAAAGTGCTGGCACTTATTTTTTTCCCCATTACGAGCCAGTGGCTACCAAATACTGTTTTTCTGTTTAAAGGGTTGCTTTCGCTACATGTCAATCTGTAAAAAAACGTGGGGAATATCACTCCTCGGTAAGTTTTATTGGCTAAGATTTCAACATGTTGTTCATGTCCGTCAAAAATGCTGACGTTCAAGACCTTAATTAACCGCAATTAAGTTGATACCGGTAGATGGACACAGTCATTGTTCCAGATATCAGCCATGACTTCCCTCATTACATCAGACATTGGGAATTAATTCACTGTTCTCTTCAGGAAAAATGAACCCCCAAAGTTGAACGTTATCTAATGGTCCATATTTTGAGGAACCTGCCATACACATACTTCCCAAAGTCCTGTGCTTTGCTGCCATAACAGTACACCTGTACCAAAATGGATTGGTACAGGTGCATGTAAGGAACATTTTACAGTAGTCATCAGCTTTCTGGTCTGGGCAAATCAATAGAATCCACTCTGCAGTCATGTAGTTCATGTAATCCACATGCGCACGTGTACCGATACATTTAATTTGTACAGTGCACATGTACCGGTACCGGTACATGTACCGGTGTGCAAATTCCAAATTCGGCATGACATGTAAAATCTGCACTCCACTTCTTTCTTCGCTCACGATGTGTGTTGTTCAATGTTCCCTGGTGATTCCACTGGATTTTTTCCCCAAGTTCAGGATTCATGGCCCCGTAATTCTGGATTTCTAGAAGTTTCAGACGTCCTTCAGGCCTGGCCACTTTTCTGTCATACGTACATGTGTGGGCATACCAGCACCGTACCCTTCCCCCATATGCACAGATGTTTGTCATTTCTGTGCTACCCGGTACATACATGTATAGTCACAATACCAACCATTAGGCCCACAGTTGTGTACTGGCCAAGTGCTGTGGCTCATATATACATGTAGTAATGTCTTTCTGCCAGTCATTTATGACCGCCATTTTCCTGGTTGGGTCCAGCACGCCTTGGGCCTTGTTCTGCACTGCACCCATAACATTATGCATGACCCGAGTTGAACTATTGCACTCCATACTGTAGAAGAAATATGTACATGTACTTGCACCCCTAAATAGCCATTATGATAATGGCCAACTTGGTGTGAGCATGGTGAGGAAGTGACGTCAGACATGTAAACCAACCAGACATTGCATGCACCTGTACTCTTACCATACATGGACATTACCAAGTACCAGCCTGATCCAATTAGTTCAGGGGCACAGGCAGGATTTTCTTGTGTTTACAGTTTATTACATGTACTTGTGTGCAAATTCTGAAGACATTTGAATATCCCATGGTACATGTACACGTAGTATTTGGTATGCATTCCATACATTAATATTACGCATATCCAGCCGTGCTGTAAAGATGGTTGATAGCCTGATGTACAT